CGAGAATCTGAGAAGCTAGAAGGCTAAAATCACAGCATAATGTCCCCGTCCAAGTGGGTGTTAAAGAACAGAAACATGTGCCACGGGAAAGCGTGGAAACCGCGTAAAGGCCTGCCAAAGCCTTTCTGTTCAATGTTCATAACACGAGGATCTGAGAAGCTGGAGGGCTAAAATCATACTACGATGTTCCCGTCCAAGTGGGTGTTAAAGCACTAAAACCTACCTCCCGGGAAAGCGTGGAAATCGCGTAAGGGCCTACCAAACCTTTCTGGCCTATGTTCACAAATCGAGGATCTCCTGGAAAGCCAAAATCACAGCATAAGGTCCCCCGTCCAAGTGGGTGTTACAGCACAGAAACATATGCCATATGCCACGGGAAAGCGTGGTAGGCGCGTAAAGGTCAGCCAAACCTTTTCTGGCCTATGTTCATAACTCGAGGATCTGAGAAGCTGGAAGGCTAAAATCACAGCATAATGTTCCCCGTCCAAGTGGGTGTTAAAGCACCGAAACCTACCTCCCGGGAAAGCGTGGTGAGCGCGTAAAGGCCTGCCAAAGCAATTCTGGCCTATCTTCATAACTCGAGGACCTGAGAAGCTGGAAGTCTGAAATCGTACTATGATGTTCCTCGTCCAAGTGGGTGTTAAAGCACAGAAACGTATGCCACGGGAAGGCGTGGAAATCGCGTAAGGGCCTGCCAAAGCTTTTCTGGCCTATGTTCATAACTCGGGGATCTGAGAAGCTGGGAGGCTAAAATCATATTGCGATGTTCCCCGTCGAAGTGGGTGTTAAAGCACAGAAACATACGCCACGGGAAAGCGTGGAAACCGCGTAAAGGCCTGCCAAACCTTTTCTGGCCTATGTTCATAACTCGAGGATCTGAGAAGCTGGAATGCTAAAATCACAGCACGATGTTCCCCGTCTAACCATGTGTTAATGCACTGAAGCCTATGACCCGGGAAGGCGTGGTAAGCGCGTAAAGGCCTGCCAAAGCTTTTCCGGCCCATGTTCATAACTCGAGGATCTGAGAAGCTGGAAGGCTAAAATCGTACTATGATATTCCTCGCCCAAGTGGGTGTTAAAGCACAGAAACATATGCCACGGGAAAGCGTGGAAACCGCGTAAAGGCCTGCCAAACCTTTCTGGCCTATGTTCACAAATCGAGGATCTGTTGGAAAGCTAAAATCACAGCATAAGGTCCCCCGTCCAAGTGGGTGTTACAGCACAGAAACATATGCCACGGGAAAGCGTGGTAAGCGCGCAAGGTCAGCCAAACCTTTTCTGGCCTATGTTCATAACTCGAGGATCTGAGAAGCTGGAAGGCTAAAATCATC